GTTTGCCTAGGTCGAAACTAACTCCGGCTATATAAAATTGATTATAAGATTGAAAAATATTAATTTTGTTATTGTAGTAGTGATGGATACTATGTACACGTTTAATTATTGTTATTTATTCGTTAATGTCATTATATTTACATTTAAATTTAATATATTGTTTAAGTATGAATTATTATGTTCATGTAAAAATTAATCTTATAAATTAAAATTATATATTTTAAATAATATAGTAGGCATAGTTTAATGGAGATCATCAAATGCGGTTGTAAGACCGGGTGCAATCAAGGCAGATGTCAGTGCAATAAAATGAACATGAAATGCTCCGATCTTTGTCAATGTACAAACTGTCAGAACAGAGATGATAAAGACACCATGAATGACGATGCTCAATTTGCAGACGATGAATACCTAGATGATTTGTTTGATTGAGATTTGATGTGTTTCTTATTTCATCATTATTATGTATAATATAGAAAATTTAAAAAAGGTAACGTAACCATGTGACCCTTGAAAATGTAAGAACTTCAGAACCATGAGACTTAGCACACAGTGACACAGGAGTACATAAAACATTATCTATTTTTATTTATTTTGTACAGGTATAATAAAGAAAACTTTAAAAAGTATAATGTAACGGTGTAGCCCATGAGAATGTAAGAACTTTGGAACCATGAGATTTAACACACAGTGACACAGGAGTACGTAAAGCATTATCTATTTTTATTCATTTTGTACAGATATATTATAGAAAATTTTTTTAAATTATAATGTAATGGTGTAACCCATGAGAATGTAAGAACTTAGAACCATGAGACTAAACACACAATGACACAGGAGTATGTAAAGCATTATCTATTTTTACTTATTATGTATGATGTACAAAAGTTAAAAAAAGTACCGTATAATGTAACGGTGTAACCCTTGCGAACTTTAGAACCATGAGAATAATCTCACAATGACAAGGGACTGCAAAACGCTTCACTGTATTTATTTATTAAGTATTATATAGAAAATTTAAAAAGTAACAGACTCACTAGAGCACAAGAAGCTTTTATTAAGATGTATAACACGTGTACAGTACATAAATATAGAGTTATATATTGTATAAGCTCTCAGAATATTTGAGAATAAATATGAATTTTTCATATTACGTATTAAATTTCAATTTCTTTTTAATAAAATGTGTCCCAACATGGGTCAACCGTAGTATACAAAACAAATATACATCCATGCACATCATAACAATGCATCAAGTTTAAATTTCCCCACATTTAATCCTTTATTACAATTTGAAAGTAAAATAAATACAATAATTTTAAAAAAGGAATATGAATGCAAAAATTCTGTAAGAATGAAGCGTGTACTTTAGTACACATACAGGGAACATGCAGACACATTGTCAAAAGGAAGACCACAGGAGTCAAAAGAAGTCAAAATACTAATACATTTTCTTTAAATTGTTACACAATTATTGTTTTGAAAAGAATTGCAATTACAATAATAAAATAAGTTTTTTTGTTGAAATTTCTCATTAATAATTATACTGTAAGTTGACGCGAATTGACGTGTACTGACGCAATCCGACATTACTTGACACGATTTGACCTAAAATGACGCGATTTTATGCGAGTTGACGCAAGTGGACAGCTTATTGTATGATCGCGACGTGCTTCTACACCGCTGTATCGCGGTGTGTTTTCCGACGACTAGCAGCCTAGGAACGTAATAAAACGGAAATTTTCTTAAAATTGCAGAAGATATTTTTGTCGAACTTTCTATATTTGATTCAAGACATATTACTTAACTATTGTAGGCCTAAATTTTTTATAATGAAAAAATCGGAACGGAATTCGTTTTCTAGACGTCTTTTGAGCTTCACCCCATGGCCTTAATGCAATGTAGTAAATGAACTGCACAATGGAATTTACAGTACACAAAATTCTGTTCTTGCAGATGATGTATGTTTACTCAGACTTTCAATATTGTATTGCTCACAAGAAAATAGGGAGTTTTCGTTTTGTGCGACGACGCAACGCTAGAACGTAATCACTCATGCGTGACCGTCCTACCTGGTGTCCTACGTTCTCTGCATACATAGATTTGGCTGAATTGCGTTTCAGAATCTACTCAACGAGGTGACCTTAACGTTCTCGCATGCGCAGATGACTTTTAGTGACATCATTACGTTCTACGTCCTACCGTCGTCGTGCAATCGAAAGCTCCCTAATGCGTGCATCTGTCTGACTTGATAATATTAAAATTGGGTGGGACAGAGGTCAACTGTAGTAAAAATTTACCTCATTTACAAATTCTATTTAAGCTTTCTGATTTATATTGCCTTCCAGGGGCGGATCCAGAATTTTTCAAACGGGAAAAGGGGGGGGGGGCGCACACAACATTTTCAGAATAGATAAGCAAGTAGTGCTAATTTCAATATATGCATTGAAATTTTAAAATTTAGTGCCAAAACAGGGGGCTGTCCCCCCTGCACCCGCCTTCAGCGTCAGCCTTTTAAAGTATGATAACAGGTTGTTGATCTAAAAATACGACATCAAACTACTATATGTACTATTTTACTTCATAAAAATTTAATTTACAACTTGAACATGCCACAACGGATATATAATTCATTCTTAGTCTTTAAAAGTTCCCCAATGATTTAAAACATTTAAATAACAAACATGGTTCAGTTAATATTCGGTGTCTGGGTCTATCTATTGATGGAGATTCCTCACTCAAAACCGGAGGGGAAGTATCCTTTGCTTAAATCAGTAACAAAAATGAGACAGTGAAATAAAAAACAAACCTACAACAAAACACGACATCAATACTGTAAACTGCCAAGTAACAATATCATTATATGATTGAATACGGTGCGATTCACGGTAACTTTTGTACGGTACATGAACAAATAAATCGACCTAAAGAGTGACCATCTCATGATCAACTGCTTTCACTTTTTGTTAGCTCAAATTTCAATAAAAAGTTCTTTTAATGACTCCAAAATATTTCCTCGTTTCACAACTGGCTGGCTTCATCCAAATCTTGAAGCATTATTCAACAGATGGGGCCCCAGGTTCATATGCATGTCTCACAACAAACATAACAAATTTATATTTATGACAGAACTATGATTACTCAGGTTTATTTACGAATGGTTATTGTTTGTGGGACCATATCAAAAATATCATAGGGTGAGGCTCAAGTAAGCGGATCACAGGAAGTGTAATCCATAGCTTATAATTTTGCTCAGGGCATTGGGTACAGTCTGGTGAGCTTTACCTCCATGATTCAAGATTATCTATAAACCTTAACACAACAAACCTTTCAGAGGTGTCAATTAAACTTCTGACCGATCAGAGTGTGTTATTTAATAGA